CACACACACACACACACACACATAAATCCTCCCTATTCTGCTTGTGAATGTTTTCTGTTATGAATATCATCTGGTTACCACCCAAACAATCAACCACCCCATTTTGTTACTCTGAATCATATCCAAGAATTGGTCCAAGCCATTTTTCAACTTCTGCCACAGGCATATTTTTTCTTAAGGCATAGTCTTCAATCTAGAGAACAAATAAGAAGATGACTAAATTAGCATTTTAACTTTCATATCTTACACTGCTCAAAATATCTGGAAAACTACATTTCATCTTTTTTTTTTTTTTTTGAACAGAAAAATATTTTATAATACCACTACAATCTGTGAAAAAGTATTGCACCCCTTTGGATTTTTGGCTTATTTTTGGCATTTAATGTTATCAGAGCTTCTTGGAGGTCCTAATGATATATAAACAGAACCTAAGTAAATAAATGACAATTTATGGTTTTATTTATTTCATGAATAAAGTCATTCATTGTGTGTGTTATGCAGAAGGGTGTGTTTAGGGCTGTTGCCTCTTTCCATTACCTCTGCTTGCTTCCTTTCTTGAATGGTTTGAAGATGGAGCTTATCTCAACATGCCTATTAATGACCAATTCATCAGAGTGCCATGCCTCTAGGCATTCTCTTGCATTTTTGGATCTGGTTTGGTCTAAGATATCTAGAGTTTCCCAACTGAAATTATAGTTGAATTTGTCAGTGTATTGTGAAATTAAAGAGTTTTCATTGTGTCTTCTGACTGAGAGTTCTTACCTAGCTTATTTTGTGTGCTACTGTAATAGTTGAGTACTTAATCAGTGTGGACTGTTTTGTGATACACTTGAGTTTGTAGTTTGCCACTGCTTTCTTCACTGATGTGTATGTTCAGGAAAGGTGGTTTATTGTTCTCTTCTCTTGTGAATCTGATTCTTTTGCATTACTGGTAAAAAGAGGGGAGAAAATTACTCCATGGCAAATTCATTCTATTCAACTGAACTACTAGCATGACCTGCTCATTTCAAGTCCTGTCATAATATCAGTGTTAGTTCTAGACATTGACTTGGCCATTCCAAAAAGCTAAATATGTTCTTCTTTGTATGTTCTCTAGTAGATTTGACGTATATTTGGAATCTCTATCTCAATGTGTATGCTTCAATTTCAGCTGACAGGGAGATGGCCTGATATTCTTTCATATCTTTGTATTCTTTGATATTCTTTGTATTATTTGATACAAAGCAGAATGTATGCTTCCTTCAAAGAGAGCAAGTTATCCTCATCCATGCTCCTACCAGCTCCATGCTTGATAACTGGTATGAGGTTTACATTATGGAATGCAGTGCTTGGTTTCTCCCAGACATAATGACACCCATGTAGTATGAAACGTTCTACATTTGACTCATCTTTTCATAGAACATTCTTCCAAAAATCTGGAGGATATCCAGGTGATTTTTGGCAAACATAAGACAACCACAATTACAATGGCTTCCAACTTACTCCTCTCCCATAAATCCTATTTTTACCTAGCAGTTTTCTGATGGTGAATTCATGAACGCTGACTTTAGCCAAAGTTTCAAAAGCCTGTAAATCCCTGGGTACTGTCTATACTCTTAAAGTGATTTTGATATACCTGACAAAATGGAGCCTAGATGTTTAGACATGGTTTTGTAGCCTTTTCCCAACTAATAGGCATCAACTGTCAGGTTCATGAGACAGCCATGAGACAGTACAGATATAGTTCCTTTGCATTTATTAGCTTCCACCTACAAGACAGAATCTCGCCAGACTGAATCTAAACTTCCCAAGCCAGCAAGCAAACACTGCGAATTCCTTAGGGTGGTGCCAGTCTCATCCTCTTCACCTTCCCACTCTCATTTTGGGGGCTAAGGAAATGCTTATCTCCCCGAGCGTGGCCTTCACCAACCCATTCCATCACATCAACAGCTTTTGAATGAATTATTCAGAATGTAATTTTGTGCAAGGCATGATTCTAGATTTGTGGTGAGAACTTCACTATGATGAGAGGAGCCAAAATTTGTGAGATGGATGGATGGATGGCAGGACTGGTTTAAATCAGCTCTGATTGTTTAATGAAATATTCACACAACTGGCCCCAATTATCCCTTCAACTGAACTGAGTGGACTGGGGAAGAGATTATTATTTTTTCACATTGGCCCATTTCATGTTGAATATTCTTTATAAAATAAATATAACTTTGGTCTTATTTGGTTACTCACACTCCTTTTATATATCTATAGGCCCCACAGAAGCTTCATCTAGTGGCAAAGGTATTCCAAAATTTAGAAAATTCAGATGGGATTAATTCTTAGTCACATTAGTAATTTTCTGCCAATACAATCAATAACCAGTCTCTATGTTTGCAACATAATTTGGTGTTTAATTACAAATTTCTAAACCCTGTCCCCAGTTTTCTCAGTTTCCAATATTTAACAAAAATTATTGGTGCTGTTAATATATATAAAATCAGTTCTTTACAGCTCAAATGCCATACTGAATAGTCTAAAGGATCTGGTATCAAAAGTATGTTTTGTGTATCTGATTCTCATTTCCAGCTCTCTCCTTTTTAATACAATTCCTATAATAGCAAAAAGGCCTTACCTGATCTTTCAATATTTTCCCAACAGCAAAATACCTAGATGCCGGATTGGAAAAGTAGAGACCAGACACAGCTGAGGCAGGCAACATTGCTAGGGATTCGGTTAGCTGAATACCTGTGGGAAAGCAACCATGTTGGCTCTTTAGGAAAATATGTTCTGTTATGGTTAAGAATTGCCAAATTGCAGATATCTCTGACTCAAAATTCATATCAGCAAGAAACTCTTTGGAAGCTCACTTTCCTATCAAAATCCAGTCCAAATCATCCATTATAATTGTATCAGATATGCAATCATTTAGAGAATTATCAATATACTGAATGTGATTTTGTGAATTTAGGAAAAAGAAGGGAGCCTCCTTCAAGCAGTCACTAAAAACAGATGAGGATTTAATAGCAGACAGAGGATGGGGCCATACACACAATCATGGCCCTATGCTCTCCCACCTGCACAACCCACAAGTCTGAAGAGGATATGAACTCAATGGGCATTCTCTCATCTTTATAAATATCTGAGGCCATAAAAGGAAAACAATAAAAATAAAACTAAGCATTTATAATTTCTCTCCTCAAAATACAGATCAGGTATAAAAACAAAAAAATATTTTAAGATAGAACTTCCTAGCCAAACTTTGAAAGATACCTGTAACTTCCTCAATATTGGCAAGTCTCCACATAGTGATTTTTTCAGTGTGGTCAGGCTGACATGGATAACCAGGTGCTGGGCGAATACCATCATATCTTATTCTACGGAGATCTGAAAATTCCAACTGTTCGTTTTCACAATAAGCCCAGAATTCTTTCCGAACTCGTTCATGAAGTTCCTCTGCAAATGCCTTAGAAACAAGCAAAAGTAAGCTCTAACTTTAGTGATGCTTTGTCCAAGCACCTAATTTATCATTGTGCGCATGCCTCCAACTCAGTCTTGACTCCTGGTGACTACATAGAGAAGTCTATGCACTTTTCTTTGTAATATTTTTCGAAATTGTTTGTCATTGCCTTCTTCCTACCACTGAGAGAGTTTCTCAGGGGTTGCTGGGCCTAAGACAGGAGTAGAACTCAGGTATCCCCACTCCTAGTTCTGCACCTTAACTACTAGACCAAACTAGCTCTCAATTTACCATTACCTGTATCTGTTACCTTAACATTTCATGGCTTATAAAGATATTCCTGCACTTGCTGTAGGCTCATTGTTGTGCTAGAAGCAGGACATTTTAACTGATCCACTGATTTCCCACATAAGCACCCGCACAAACAAAACATCTCTTTCAGACTTCTATGCCTCCTGCGTATGATGTTCTAAAGGATCCCCTTCCCCTCTGAAGCAGATTAGGTGGGTACTAGGAGAAGATGATAAACAATAAAAATTGATTCATTCTTTGTTTTGCTGATGGAAGTTTCCAAAGTATCAATAAGACATCTATCATAATTGACACCATTGGATAAGACACTATGTAAGTTCTCCATTACCACAATATACTTACTATACAGATAACAGCCTTCTATTTCCAAAAGAGCAGGCCCTCCCTCTCTTCCTTCCAATACATGCATAAAAATAAGCAGCGTCACGTAAAAAACAAAAAACAAAGACCTGGCCAAGATTCAGCTACAATATATATTACCTCTGCTAACCGATCTGCTAGTGCTTTCACCATGATAATATTGTAGTCATCAGACTGTTTCTCATATTCTTTACACAGCTCATCTACTCCAAAGCATGCCACAGCAAAGAGCCCCAAATAGTCAGAAACACCAGACTCCAGGGGGGATATAAAGTCAGATAGGCAATAATAGGGATCTGTGGAAGCAGAGTCTTTTTCAACCTACAACGATAAATTGAGCAAAACATTAAATATAAAAGACCTAATAAGATACATAGTGATTCTCCTGATCCACAGTAACATGCAGATGTTTGGGGGAGGAGAGGTAGCAACATCCTGATAATCACAAGATTTCCCTTTCATGCAATTCATATCAATTTCAAATTGAGTCAGCAGTATAGCGTATCTGCAAGGCAGATGCAATTTCAATTACAGAAAGTTCAATTTTATATGGGTTAGATCCCACCTTGATTACAGTATCTGATTCAGGAGACCACAATTTTAAGAAGAATTCAGACCAGGCAACAAGGATGATCAGGGACTAGAAAATAATTCCAACGAAGAGATTTTGAAGTAATTGGGAATGCATCATTCTAAGAGTATCACACTCTTCAAATTCCTGAATGTCACAGAAACAGTCAAGACATGTTTCTTATTGTACTGGAGTACAAGACATAAAATAATGGGCTTGGGCTACAGGAAGGCAGATTCTGGGTGAACATTTAAAAAATCTCCTTCCTTGCAGTAAGAACAATTCAACACAAGAACCAATTACTCAGAAAAGTGGTAGGGCCCCCTCACTGGATGTGTTGGAGACTATCTTTTCAAAAATTTAAACATATTTAGGATCCACAGAAAGATTCACTTTCCAAGCATTCTACACAGCATTTCCAATAAGCATCCAAAATCCAACTACTACAGTTCCCTTCTTTGTGAAATGCCATTATTTTAATCTAGTATTATTATACATGTTCATAAGCTTACAGAATATATCATTATCATTTGCTAACTTTTTAAGACAATTATCTTACCATTACACACACACACACACACACACACACACACACAATGAAGATTTATTATATAAATGCAATAATCTTTTCTCTGGCTTCTTATATAAATATTCCATTTTTAACTGATTTTAAAGACAAGGTAGGAGGTTGGGTTATTATATTTCAGTAAATAAGCAGGTTTAATATGGGAAGACAATCTAGCAGATAAATGATCCTGTGTAGGCTTCAGACAGACAGACAGACAGACAGACAGACATGGTGATGTATCATTTGAATTAAGATACAATAACAGTTACATTTGCAGATTCTTTAGCTGCAAAATGCTACATGTTTTTCAGATTAAAAACAATGCTTTCAGGCTGATAAAATACCTAAATTACTGTTAAAAAGTGACCTTTCACATCTCAAAGATGCAATGAAATGGTCAAAGTCAGACTGGCGTGCTTTAAATGAAACCAGAAGATGAGTGTATAGCTTGTGACTCTCGGGGCAAGCAATCTCATCCCCTCCAATTCTGCATCTCATAATTCTTGATAAACTATTATGGAGGCTGGGATTTAGGAACTTTCTAGTCAAACATCTGTAGATTCCAACTTGCCTGCTCTTGTCTACATAATCACAAATCATAATTAGGAAATGCTTAAAAATGAGTTCAAGTTCACAATCTGAAATAAATAACATTTCATTTGAGTAAAATATCATCAAGCCACACCTGTTGTCGTAAGCCATAGAACTTAGCTATTGGTTCGGAAGTTTGTACATCCTCTTCTGTGTCATATAAGTAAATGTCATCTTTAATGCTTCGAGCTGGCCAAAACCCAATCAGACCTTTGGCTTTAAGTTTATTTCCTGTAATCAAACTTTTCAGCAGGTTTTGAGCTTCATTGTAGACTTTTTTTGCCTCTTCTCCTAATAAAGGAGAAAAAATGGTAAGAATATAATGTCTGGATAAACCATGTTGGATAAACCGCAACAGTTGGGTTTGCACAGAATACTAAGCCAAAACTAAACAAATCACATTATGGTTTAGCATGATGCGTCAACCCAATAATCAAAACTTAAAATAAACTCCCGGCATTTTTAAAGAAAAGTAATCAATGTTTGGATTTTTTGCAGCTACAACCTTAAAATCACTGACTTTGCTTTTAGTGACTGCAAACATCTGCTCAATAGCTGTGGTGCTATCAAGAGCTTTATAGTTAGGTTTACTGCAGGCATTTGGATTAAAATAAGTATTTCAGGAAAGAGTATGTGAAGATTTATACATTTCCTAGTGATAGTACCTAAACATACAATTTTCTCTTATTAAATTGAGAAGATATAAACAATTTTTTAAACCTTCTCTATCCAAACACTTATTACAGGTGGCCTAAAATAATATCTTGCCATAGCAGAAGAAATGATTTAATGAATGGCTCATCATAAGCCTTTCAAAAACTCAAGATGGATTAATGGAATTAGTTATGTTCAATCTATGCCAAGATAAATGTGAATTTACCTGTTACATAATCATTTATATGGCTGATAAATCTAATGTTGGTCTCATCTGCATCACTAATTCTTTTGCATATTAACACAGTTGAAGGCATTTTAAATAATAGTTAACCTAGTTTTTAGACCCTCCACTAGAGAAAATGGTATTGTGCTACTCACCCACCACTTTATCATTGAAGATTTTAGGGAATCCTCGGTTGGGGTATCTGCCTCTAAGCTGCCAGACATCAAAAAATGGTTTCCAGTCAATGTATTCCACCAGCTTCTGTATGTCATAATCTTCAAAGACTCTAGTGCCAAGGAACTGTGGTTTAACTGTAAAAGTTCAACATGCAAATTTTGTACTTCAGCATATCTTTTAAACAGCAGACTCTATTTTAATATGCTTTTACTACAAGCACTTAATGCCAGAGGATTATCATAACTAAATGCTCAACTTCAGTTAGCTAGGACTGTGTCTTTGGACCCTGTTGAACAGAAGGCAGAGAACGTCAATGAATCCAAGTAAGAGGACAGCTACTGGCTATAAATGTATTTCCCTTGAACCAACCACTAGAAAATGGTAAGAATGTATACATGGTTTTTCTGCAGCATGAGATGGCAAAAAAAGAAGTAGTAAGCTGTTGTATATGAAAAATCATGCCTTCACAAATCACTGGATATGCCTGAGTGGAAGCTAGACAGACATTTATCAGGGAAGCTTTAATCTGGCTTCCTCATGTCAACTTTGCAACTAACTGTTCATAGAATATACAGCTGAGTCATAAGGGGTGTTTATGATTCTCCTGGAAGAATTCCATATAACAACTTTTCTGAAGAAAGGCAGATGGAAAATAATGCTGTGAATTTACCATAGTTGTATATAAGCTACAGTAAGATAGAACCTATTTGCTACAGGTTTCAGATAAGGCAGGTACAGAAAAAGAATTCTTTTATATGACCTTTTCTTGCTGTTTTTATACTCTCAGGTATTCTAAATATATAGTACTCCTTTAAAGGAACTGGCAGTGAGCATAGCAGATTGGTTGATTGATTAACTGATTAAGTATTTACTTATTTATCACATTTCCACCCTACTGCAATCAAATGACTCTTGCAGAGAATATAAAACTGATAAAACATCCATGTTTTAATTGTTTTAGCATATTTTAATTAATTAATATTTCTCTATTTTAATTAATGTTTATTCTATTTTTACTGTAAATCCTAGTCTTACCCTTGACCAATATTATCTGGTCACAGGCTGAAATAATACCACCATCGCTTGGATTTTATTATAGCTAATAATTGTATTTTATACTGTATTATTTATGTTTTTATTGGTTTTAAACTGTTTGGTTATGAACCGCCCAGAGTCCCTCCTTGTGGGGGAGTTGGGTGGTGATATAAATTTGATTTATAAGTAAATAAATAAATAAACTGCCCAGAGTCACTCCACAGTGAGATGGGCAGTGACAAATTTGAAATATAAAATAAATAAATATAAGGTACAAAATTCCATAAAAACAGTATAAATAACACCCACACCTAAAAATACAAACAATAAAAACAGAAGTCAAAGATGGTGTGATAAAATCAGGGGACGGCTCATCAAAACAGTTCCATGTTTAAAAGCTTCCAAAATATCAACCAAGGGGCTGGCCTGATCTCATCTGGGAGGCTATTCCATAGGGTCAGCACTACCAATGAAAAGCAGCGCCTTCTTGGTTCAGCATCTGAACCTTCCCCAAATGTGGCATCAATAACAGTGCCTCTCTGTTAGAACTGACTGGTTAGGCCAATTCTTGTTGAAGTGGACAGTCCTGCAGACATCCATAAGCAAGCTGTATTTCTTAAGGATACAGCCAGCCAATCTTTATAATATATAACCACCCTATTAATTTTGATATATTTTAAAAGTACTTTAAATTTAATATATCGTTTCATTTTAAATTACAATAAAGTTCATTTAACCAGAGAAGCAAGAGAGGAATTTATAACAGTTCACCAAGTAATTCTTAAGAAAGGTAGATACTCTTCAAAAAAAACAACAACAAACAGATAGATGGTAACTATTTGAGTTTCTTTGGGGGAAAGCAATCATTTACAAAAATTTTTTCATAAAGTTATAAATACTGAAAGCTAGATGGAAGTCCAATTTCAAATCACTATGGAGTTTTTTTTTTTGCCTGAAAATATCTGTGTTCTGATGAAGGACAAAACAGTTTTTAAAATTAACCTGGTTTAGTCTCATTTTGCCAGTCATAATAGAAGCGCTTATTTCTTGCTTGCTCTAAAGGTAAGTATTTTCTTTCCTGTGTGGGGAAAAAATAAATTAGAGATTAGTGCTCTGTGGTTTAAGTCTAGCAGTTAATTTACTTAGTTAAAAGAAAGCAAATAAAACTAGGAAGAACTAATACATGTCTGACAGGTACCCTTGTCAGCAGGAAGAACTAAGAACTTCTGCCCAAAGTCACGTAAAAGTGAGACGGGCAGCTATATAAATTGAATAAATAAATAATAAAGTATAAATACATAAATACATAAATACATAAACTCCAACATTCCCAATAAACATCCCCTGGTATAGTCTGCAGATTGAGAATCCACATCTTCACCAGGAAGAGATGCTCTTTGTCACATAGGCACAGAAAGTACCTCAGTACCACCATCTGGTACAGTCAAAAAATGTGAGTCCTCTTAAACACCAGGGCAGAACTCAAAAAGGAAACAGGAAAAGCTGGAAGTGAAGGCTTGGGAAAGCACAGGTCTAAGAGCTTCCCACAGCCTCGGATTAAAGTCTGAAATTTCAGGAAGAAAAGAAATCCAGCCAGGGAAACAGAGGATTTTTTTTGCTTCAGAAAGCCTGTTATTTTCAGAAGGGCAAATGAATATCTATTCAGAAGAAACAGGTAAATAGCCAGACATAGTATTATATCTTTAATTTCTGTGTTATTGTACTTGTCCTAAGTCAAATCTAATGGTTTCATTTTGCTGTACAAATTTGGAAAATTGGATTACTTTTCAGCCTTGAAGCAAACTTAAGGCTGTGTACAGGAATATATTAACGTGAACTGTGAATTGTGTAATTCGTGTAATTTGAAATCTGTTCCTATCTCTTTATAGAAATCTCTTTATTTTGTAGTCTTCTGGGTCATTCTTTTGCATTTTCTGTTGCAGACCCTGATCAAACCTATTCTGTGGGCTCATCCACACAACCACTTTGCTGTGCTTTCTTCCCAAATCGAAGCTGAAAGAAAATCATGTTGGCATTAATCATGTTGCCCCCATAGCTTGCCCTTAACCCAGAATGAGGCCATGCTATGCTCCTGTCTGTGTAGCTTTTCCACGTTACACTATAAAGGCAATGACTGATGATTTTCCCTGGCTGTAATTTGACTGTCATGAACCGCAGGAAAGGACTCCACCAATTGCCATACAAAATGTATTCTTGGGTGGTGCTTGTACAGTCCAAGGGCACCATCCAATCATTTTTTCTGTTCCCCCCAACAAAGGACTGTCAACCTATTAGCCTGACCACTAGATGGCGGCAATGAGTTTGTCTAGTTTTTTAACTGCAAGATAGTAGTCTCCTGGATTTTTGCAGCCAGATGCAGGTGCTGCAAGAGTTCCTAGAACCAGAGTTCAAGAAAGGGTTTCTGGTGGTATGTGGGTGCTCAGCTATGGGGTCTTCTCAAATATATCCATGTAATTTCTCCAAAATGATTACTGACCAGTGGACCTATCAAGTGCCAAAGAAATGTTAAAGAAATTTTGTATCTCATGGTGGCCATATAGCAGTCATCCAGATTTGTGTACCTGAAATGTAACTTCTGTGTCAATGTTGTTGGAAAATGGTATGTTGAGGTGATATTAATACCAGATTAGACTCCAGGATGGAATTAATCTAAAGAACCAACACTGCAGAACAGGAGCTAAGCCCAGGGACCAAACAAATGGGTTGGTTCCACTGCAGACCTGTTGGGTCAACTGCAGCCATGCAGATTGCTGCCCTTTATCATGTTACTCAAACTTCCTTCTCCAAGCATTGTGGACTGTCTGAATAAGAAGTCTTCTTCAGCTTTTCCAGGGAAAACACTACTTTCATGGCAGAACACCTTGGACTAGCTATAAGATGGAAGCTCCATTGTGAGGACATGTGGGTGACTTTTTGCTGTGGTAAAGCAGGCAATGTGGATGAGTCATATAGCTCCTTTTTTAAAACACAGAATACATGTATTTCAAGTCTTTAAAGTTAAAAGGGGGATATATATTTTGCCTCTTTTTAAAAATAAAAGTTTGATTTGTTCATCTCTGGTGAGAATGGTCTATCTCCCAAGGAACAGAGGAAAAGATGGCTACATGCCTATACATTAGGAGGCCAGGAAACAGTGTTACTGAAATTATTTTAGTGTTTTACCATTTGACCTTTTAATCACCAGTAATATGGCACTGGTTGTGAGAGCCTTATCCCTCAGTCACAAACAGGGGGTTTGAGAGAGGACACCAGGTAAAGTGTCCCCCAAAAAATGGGTGGTGGCACCTTGAACTACCAAGTTGCTAACCCAAGCAGGAGTCAGGACCAGAGTATGAAGACCCAATGGGCTTCTGGGAGAGGTTTGAGATGGCCAGCCTTCCACCCTACACAAACTCAGTTGTTCTGCTACTATGACATTAAAAAATAGTTTTAGCACTATTTACCTTGAGTGAGTCATAATGATCCTGTCGAATGTCTTCATACTCTTCTCTTATTTCTTCAAAAAAGTCATCTTTTAGATTTTCATCTAAAAGCTGAGAGCACTTTAACAAACACAACATGTTGATTAAATCTGAGATTGAGGCATGTTATCCATTATCTCTCAAATTCTCCCTTTTGAGAACTTACATATCCTCATGAGCTGACAGTCCATAAGAACATGTGTAACTACCCTAACTTCTTTTGTAAAAATCATAGAATTCCTGATAGGTGCTTCATATTTTCATATGAATATTATTTCAACTAAAAGGATGCCAGTTGAATGTTCTGAAAACCTGACTTGCAGACTTCAAATATGAAAACATGAATGAATTAAGAAAGCAGGTCTAAAATAAGGAGACGATGAGGGAAGATTTTTCCTTCATTCCTGGATGAAATGAAAGCTGACTACTCCCTTGAGCTGATGAAATCCAAGTGTTCTGATGAGATGCAGGGTTGTGTCCTGGAACTGGTGATTAAGGATTTCCTTCTATTCCCTCCCACTATGGGAAACTCTAGATGCCCTGCTGCCTTAAGAAGAGCCACATCCGACCACATATACTTCATACACTTAGAGCTATGCACAGTCCAAAGAGGAGGACTTTGAATCGGAAAACTGGGATCCCACTGAAAAAGTTTTAAACTGATGTCAGACAGTAATGTGGAAATACCCATCTCTTAAACCAGTCCCCTCACTGTACAAGAGACAAGCTAATCTGAACTGAGACACTGCTTAAAGTCAGTCATGGCTGAAGAAGCAGTACAAAAGTCTAGTAAATAAATTCTGTTCTTAACTTTCTAGGACATTAGAAACTGTTAGGGTCTTACAGAAAATAAGTCATCCCCTTTGCTAAGGTAAACACCAAAATCTGCCATCAGTTTTTTTTTCCCCTGAAGATACAACAGAGGAAGTTTTTCTTTTTTTTTTTAAAGATCTAAAATGAAGAAAACAGAACTCAACAAATCTGATTGAGAAAGTTCATACTGTGGTGTTCAAAAAAGAACTTCGGGGAATTCAGAAGCTGTTCTTCCAGACATATTATGGAGGGGGAGGGGTCCCATCAAAAACCTTTTAGGACATTCTGAATAAGGTTTCTGTACAGATGCAAAACTGTTCAAAGACCAAGATGAAAAGGGAAGTTATCCATCTTAAGCAAGTAAGAATAAAATACTATGGCCTATTCTGTTTCATGCATTCAGAAATTGAGATCACACTTCTCAGGATTCTCTATGAATAAGGGTTGCTGCATAGTAATCAAGAGTCCCTCACGTTAAAATCCAACAATATTTTAGCAACTCATGTCTAGGAGAAAAACGGGATCTGCAGAAAACTTAGGTGGTTTACTCATTCACAGTTTGAAAATATCTAATCAAATGAATCCTTTGTCTTCCTAAAATACTTATAACCAAACCATAAGAATTCATTTTTATGGATTCTACAAATTCCAACAGCTTTATATATAGCTCAGGTTTGAAAGCAAATCAAACCTTCAGGTTAATTTGCCTTAACATGGAAGTAAAGGCAGACTCCCTTGTTGCTATAATCTCTATACTGATATAAAAAAGGATAGTGCACTCATTGAGGCAGATAGCTGATCTATTAGAATGCATCTAAATCACCCTGCCCCAACCTGTGGCTTTCAGATTTAGCGGGATTACAATTTGCAGAATTCCCAATCAACATAGCCAATGCAGCGAGGAGTTATAATCTCAACACATCTGGGTTGTACCAGATTAGAGTAGTCTAGTATAAATTTTCAGATAGAAATTTTACAACTTACAACCACCACACTTTTGGAAGCATCCAGAACATGAATGACAGGAGCACTATACCGTGGAGCAATTTTTACAGCTGTATGAGTTCTGTAATAACATAAAAGGGAACTTAAGAAAATAATAACCATATGAACAAACAGCCACAAACATCTTAACGTACAAACATGTTTATATTCTGATGGAAAATTTATAACTCCTTGGCAAATTCATGTTCGCCTTTAAGGAAATGGCAGCCATTTGCACATCATCAAGGGTCAGAGAGGTATACTCCGTTATTTACATGACTGCAAACCCCTTTTATTTTCAAGAAATTCTAACATTATATATTGGAAACTAATCGGTATCTAAGAGACTGCCTTTCTCAGATAAATTCTGCCCGTCTGGGCCAGATGACCAGAGAATGCCTGCCTAGAGTCCCCACTAACAAGGAAGTGTGACAAAAGAGAACCCAAAGGCACATACTCTCTGTAGGGACTCCCTTCTTATGGAAAAGCCTCCCACCAAGACAAGATGGTCCCCAAATTTACGCATTCAGGATAATTGTAAAGACCTAGCTTCTCCAGGCTTTGGGGATTTACTGCAGAGCCATCAACTTCAAAATAAGTTTTACTGTATTATTATATAGTTTTCTATCTTTTCCTATATTATTGTATTATTATTTTTGTAGATGACTAGGTATACTATAAACTACCTGGAACCCAATAATGGCTAAGGTAAAATATAATTTTCATAAATGAATAAAATGTGATTGCTACATGTCAGAATTTATCAAGAGATTTCTATTCCTCCTTCTGATGAGTCTGTTAGGTCTTCATTTCTGAAATAAAATATTTTTGAGTAATAAAAAAAAGCCACTCAACCTCTCAGAACTATTTTCTTCAGGAATGA